TCATTCAACTGACAGCAAAATCACCCCTCAAAAAAGCAGTTTTATGCAACATCTAGTATTTTAATTTCCCAGATGCCAAAAGAAATATATAAGGAGCAGAAATTAAACTAATTATGTCAGCAGCACAGTGAACAAACTTTAATTGTATTACACACTAGTTAGACTTTTGCTGAACAATACAAAAGCCCTTAAGGGTACAAACTTCTTTAGAATATAAATGATTCCCAATCAAATGACAAAAATTAGCCCGTTTGGGCAATAAGCAGAGTCATGGTGTAGATGTAAAAATTCAACCGACATCATAATTCAATATAAAAGTACATATACAATATAAGAAACAAATCTCTAAAGTGGCTTTAAATCATTGTGATTTACATATGCTCTATCATTAATAGGTCCTTTAAGCCAGTATTGTACTAATCAGCTTTTTGAACATCCTGCCCACAAAAGAGCCTATTCATTTAGCTGGGAGACAGGTGTTAGCATCCAGCAACCTCTTTAAGCCTAGAGTTCCAAGGGCCTGGCCTGAGATTATTGTGACATGAGTGGCAAATCCAAAGGAAGGGCAGTTTGCAAGAGGGAAAGGGAGGAAAGAGGGAAAAGGAAACAAAAGAGACCATAGGGAGAAAGGAGTATCAGGGAAGAAATGGATGTCAGGGGCTATTTAATGGGGCCACCTTCAAAGCCTCCTAGCCTCATCTGAGCGGCCAGGCTAACACCCTTGTATGACATAAGGCAGAATTTGGATACTAGATAATGTTATTAGCTTATTCCTGCAGACAGTAACTCTGGATATACGCCTACACTCCACTCATTCTAAAAAAAGTTTAAGGGTCCTATAGTTCATTCTTCCTACTCATGTTCCCTAGTTGTTAACTTTAGTCTTCACTCTTTCAGGTTTTCTAGAACTGACTGAGTAGGTATTCCTGGAAAAAGGTATAGAGAAGGCTAGATTTAGAAAGACATCTAAGCCTACAGAATAAAAATCCTATGGGAAAGTGGGAGAAGAGAACATTGAGTTGCCTACAATGTACAAGAATATATATTTTCTCTCTTTTAATCCATAACAATCCTACCAGGTATTATATTTATCTTGCAGATGAAAAAAATGAAGATCAGGGATTAAGTAAGGTATCTAAAGTAGTACCCCCCTGGGGGTGGAGGAGCAGGGATGCAAACAAAGCCAGGTTTGTCTATTTCCTAAATTGTTAGGCTTTTCCCATTTATTCCCTAAAATATTTAGTGCCCCAATTGTTTTAACTCAAATGGTTCTGTATTTGTTTTTCTTCCTTCCATGAACTCAACAGAGGACTCGTGACTAAATGTTACTATTAAGCATCCATTTTTAATAAGAACTTGGGCTATGCAGAAATGAAACATCTGCCAAGTTGACTGCATTTTTAAAGCCTACTTACAGAGAATTCCCAGGCATCTCTCCTATCCAACTATTCTATCTAGTGATCATAACTAGATTCAACTACCTATTCAGGCTTCCAGTTGTTTCCACATTATCATGCATTTGTCCACTCAGGAAATACAGGAAGCTACTTTAACTAACCCTCCCTCATGACTCCTGATAGATAATACAGCAGAGGGGGCCTCTTTGTAAGGCAATTTACATAGAAGTTATAAAAGCTCTTTGTTATCTGTCAGGATTAGGAAATGGGCTATTCTAGCAAATCAAACATCCTGGATAACATAATGATGCTTTTAAAGGAGCAACCAATTTATAAAGAATTTCAATGCAATGTAACAGGGGCTCCTAAAGCTTGGCTGCATACTAGATTCACTTGGGGAGCTTTTTAGAAATAGATGTCAGAGTGATTTTTAAAATGCAGATTCTTGGTCATCACTTAATACATTCAATCAAAAGCTCCAGGAGGTGGGACTGGGAAACCTGTATTTTTAAAGAAGCCCCCTCAGCGACTCAGTTGCAAACTGCTAGGTACCAAATCTTTCAAACAGCGGGGGGCTTTTTGGGAACTGCTTGCACTTAAAACAGGCTAAAAAGGCTACAGCTGCTCTTAACACAAGGTGACATCTTCTGATGACTCAGGAGACCAGGATCTCCCAGTGCTTCTGGTTCATCATTCACAACTAGTCATTGTACTGGCAAAACCAGAAAGTAAGGAAAGGTTAAGATTTCAGATTGGTAAAAGCTGGAAAAACCAGCTTTTGTTTTTCTATCAGATTAAAAGAGTTGTCCCCACCTCCCCACTGCCAAGAGGAAATGCAGATTTTATGCTTGCTTTGAAAAACGAAAATGTTTCAAAATACACAGGATTCTCTTAACCAGCTATTCCATTCCAATTCAAAATGTTAACAAGCCCAAATGCATTAAAAATGTGGAATATTCAACCTGAACTGGAGAAAGCAGAGAGATTTCATGAGTCTTAATGAAGAGAAAAGAGCAGCTTAAACAAAGAACGGCATTATAGGATTAGATAAAACCACTGTCCTGATTATGGCTACTGATAAATCCTGGAAACTGTGAAAACTGTTTTTCAACAGGTGAGGCTGATGCTTCCTACCAATCTGGACAGCATTCATGTGCGATATAACAGGATGCCCTACTAAGAGCCCAACTGGTTTTAGGATTTAAAAATTCCGTGAATATAAAGTCACAATACAAGAAAGTGATTATACCATATTCCTACTGAAGGAAGAGCAATTTGTGTGTTTGGTCATAACAAGATTGTCGTTACAGCTGCCCAAATCTTTCTTATATAAGCACAACCACTATGAATAATAACCAGTAACCAACCAAAAATAATAACCAGTCATCATTACTAAGCAATAATAGTAATGATGGAGCAGGTCCTCCCTGGAGACTTCACCAACAGCAATTTAAACTATATATTCTCATTAAACACTGAATTATAATTTAGCTTTGTATTGGAGGGGTTATGAGATTCTAAAATGCAGCGGTTACAACTTTCCTCCCAAAACATAAACACTATGGCCAGAACAAATTTGATATCTCTAATTTACCATTAAAACAATAGGAGTATTAAAGGTTCTATTTTAAGAATAAAACATCAAGGTGGAATTAATCCCCTAACACACCTTAGGTCTATGCAGGTGTTTTCAGAAGGTCCTAGACACAACACTCTTACAGATGGGTGTAGCTGTATTAAACATCATAACGAACATATAATTAGGGAAGAAATTGTGCCCTTTTTGGTTATTGTGGCTGTTTTGTCTTCTTAAATGCTAGTAACTGAAAATTGTCTTCCTACTGCTTATTTTAAGAGCCTTTAAAGAGACATTCCTATTAGATGGTGCTAGGCTAAATTATATCAACTGTCTTTTGGCCATGAGAAAGTTTGAGAACTAACTTCTAACCCTTCTGAGAACAACTTTCTTTTTGTGGGCATCATATTAGCAACTGGCTAAATTAAATCCATTTAGAGGATTTATAAACCTTGATCACAATGTAAAGAGTCAGGATAACAGCTGTCTACCTGAGCAATATTAAAGTTTTTAATATTTAGTGGGCTGATCTTTGTAATTAAACGGAGGTATTAAAATGTGTGTCCTAGATTACATGGAAATTTTCTTCAAACAATCAAATTAGCCCTGCCACATCAATCTTACAGTTGTTACAATTTTCAAACTTAAGAAAATAACACCTCTAAACTGTAATTTGAGTTGTACACTAAAGTCCAGAATTATTAGGAAATATGCCATAAATTTTCAGTAACGCTTGCCATCATCTATTTCCTACTCTGTGAAAGAATGCAATCAAGAAAAAAAAAAAGATAAAGTTGTCAAACCTGAAATCCCCGAACAGAAAGAGAATATCACTCCAGCTCCCAATCCTAGAACTCTGTATACAAACAAACTCAGCCCATCACCATGTCCCCTGCCTACTCCCATTCCTAGAAAAATGGTTCAATAAATGGACAGCCTTGGCCACATTTCATAACTTGAACGGTCCGTAGGAAAACCACAACACTCCCCAGACAGATGTAGCAACAGGAGTGACAAGAAATCTTCTCTGTCCTCCAAATCACCTGTAAAAGGTTTGTATAAGGAACTGCTTTCTTAGAAGACCACATGCACCTGAGGACTTTATCACGTTACTGTGGCCTTTGGCCAGGGTGCAAAGTGATAGCTGTGGGTAAAACCCTACTTCCAAACTAACAATTCTCCCGAGATAGACTGGGAGAACATGGTGCACTCCTCGATTACACAGGCAGTTTTTTGTCTTAGAACAAATAACAGACCAACAAAAATAAGAAAATGTGTTCTTTTATCTTCTGTCAGCCTGAAATCAGGCTCTGAGCAGAGGCCTGCCACGCTCTGGCTCACCTGGTCCAGCCATACTTCCCCATGCCTGGTCAAATGGTCTCATGGCCAGCCAGCTGCAGAGAGGCCCCACTTCCCTCTCCGTCTAGGCCATTGGCGACCTCACAACATCTCAACCGAACAGAGGACAACTCCCAAATGAGGGAACAGTGGACCCCGGGGGCAATAACAACATCCCCAAACTTCTCCATTAAGTCTTCAAACTCCAGTCGCCCCCTTCTTCCTAGTAGCCCGCAGGGCTCCTCCACGAAGCAGGAACAGGCCAGTTCCTTTACAGGGGGAAGCAGACCGCGGCGTACCTGACTCAGTTTCCTCTTCCGAAAAGCGGTATCTTTCCCCACGCCAACAGAACCTGCTGGTCCGTAAGGCTTTTGGAGATGAGACAGGTCTGCCGTTACTGCCTCCACAGGTGTAATGCTTCGCGGGCACTTGTAATGGGACCGGACTAGCCTGGGTGCGGGAACCTCCAGCAAGTAGGGGAGTCCCAGGCCTCGCCCCGCACAGAGGAGGCTCGCCCCGCACAGAGGAGGCTCGCCCCGCACAGAGGAGGCTCGCCCCGCACAGAGGAGGCTCCCCCAGACCACAGCCTGGCGAGACCTCGGGCCGAGCAGCGTCCCCCACCCCGGCCTCTCCCAGGATCCCACCTCAGGCCCCGCGTCCCGCGGATCCCAGAGCCACCGCCGCCTCACCTGCCGCGGCCGCCCGCCGGGCGCGCACCTGGGAGGAGACGAGAGGAAGGGCCGGATCCGGGGTGCGGACGCCTCAGGCAGGGGGACTCCGGGCTCCGCCACGGCGTCGTCTCCGGGGCTGAGGGGCACCGGGTGGTAGTGGCGACATCCTCACTGGCAGCGCCGGGAAGTTGGCCTTCCGCACCCGATCCCCAGCCTCTTGCCCGGCCGCTCCCACCCCTCACGCGACCCCGCCCCTTCCCGGGAGCGCGCCTCCGCTTCCGCGGCGCCCGAGCCACCATAGAGAGGGGCTAGGGGCAAGGCGCGCGGCGGGCTAGAGCGAGGCCTCCGCGCGCGCCCCCTGACGGAGCCGAGGCCGCCGAAGGCGGGGCGGGCGGAGCTTGAGCAGGGACAGGCGTCAGTTCCCGCGCTTCAGGGCTTCTGCAGTTCCTCGCTGCCTTTACCACCGAACTCTACGCGAGGAGTGAAGGGTCCAGGGCCGAGTCTCACCTGAGTAGTGGTCCAGTTTGATGACCTTGGGCGAGTCTCTTAAAATCTCTGAATTTGTTTCATAATAAAAGTTTGACAGTTTCCTCACTTTCATGTCTCATTAGTCCTCACAACAATAAGCAGGTGACAGTTCCCCAAATTACCCTAGGGGGAACCCAGGCCCATGAGGAGTCACTAGCTTGTTTAAGGTCCCACAGCAGGGAGCTATTAGAAGCCAGATCTATAGGACATCAAAACCTATGCTTGTCCCACACTCTATGGCATCCCCCTCTAGCATTTCCCAGTCAAAACCCACAGGGTTAGTTTCACCTTAGGAAAGTGCTCAGAGGACGGCCCTGGTGCTGGGGAGCCTACCTTGGCCCTTCATCAGCTATGTACTTTTCTGCAGGTACTTAAAAGAACTGGTTTCCTATCCCTGAAGGAATTGGTATTGCTTGTATAAGGCAGCCTGGTATGAGGATTAAGGGAGCTAATGCACACAGAAGTGCTTAGTAAACTAAAGCACCAAGGTTGTGGGGTGAAGCTAGTGTGAACTAAGAAAAAGCCTAGTCATGAAAATACAGATGTGAATTCTTCTTCCCATGGTGTCTAGTGACTCAATTTTCTTACTCTTTTGGTTCCTATCAAGACCTCCCAGGGTTGTTCTCAGAGAATAAAGAACATAAGGAGATAAAAAAACATCCTAAGGGAAAAATGAAGTAAAAATATCATTTATACATGTAGACTGACTTTACCAGTATTATTTCCATTCTTCACAATCCAAAAAACTGAGTACTATTATTCCCATGTTATTAATGAAGATCTGCAGATTAAGTAATTTATCCAAAGCCACACAGTTAGAAAGAGGCTGTCTTGCCAATGGGTTTCAGCCCCAGGCAAGTTCGCTATGGATTCAATGTGACCAAAAATATTGACAGCAAAACAGCCTTTGGGGTGAAAGGGTTATACCCAACTTTATTTCCAGGTGGCAGGTCAGTCACTAGAATCCCATTCACTCAGAGCGAGTCTGTATATAGCAAGTCAGCCTCTGCTTCTGGGCCCCTCTGTCCTCAAAGCCATCCTCTGGGCCTCTGTCCTCGGAGCAGCCACCACTCCAGCCTCTGCTCTGCTCTCCTGCAGCCTTGCAGCCCTGCCACCGTGTTGTACCCAGAGCACTGGGCGGAGCTCTTCTTATAGAGTCAACAGCCATGTATTGCCCACAGGTGTGCAGTGAGCTAGTCAACCAGGGCCAGGTGAGAATCCTGGCCACAGGAACTCTCACTTTATCCACAGAGGCCAAGCTGGAATTTGAAACGTCTTTCTACCACCAGGAACACACATGAAAAGACTGGCCTTCCAGAGGCCTCCAGCCCCTGAATTAAATGTGCCCGTCTTTTTCCTACTTGGCTATTTTGGTAACTTTCCTTGTTGCAATCCCCTGTCTTCTCTGTTCTCTCCAGGACTTTATTTTCCCCCCTGAAGGCATATACTGTCTCCTCTTTTCCCCTCTCTGGTTCCTCTTCTTGATATGCCAAGACCTTGCTCATCCTCTCTTATTTCTGAAATGGATTCGTGACCTGTGATTAAGGCACAGCATTCTCTACCTGATCTCTCCTTCTCTCTGTTAATTATAGTCATAGAAAGTTAATAGGTCCAGAACTAGGATGGAGACCCAGAGATGTCTTTTTTTTTTTTTTTTTGGTACTGTTAATGTACAATTACCTGAGCAACATTATGGTTACTAGACACCCCTATTATCAAGTCCCCACCACATACCCCATTACAGTCACTGTCCATCAGTGTAGTAAGATGCTATAGAATCACTACTTGTCTTCTCTGTGCTATACTGCCTTCCCACAGATGTCTTTTTGTAAGCTTAGTCAACAAGCTGAGGGGTCAGTTCCAAATGGGAGTGCACTTAATCCAGTGATTGGACCCAGTAATTGTAGTCTGGATTCACGACATCCTGTGGTCATCATTTCTTTCTGGGCCCTCAGGTCCATATTACAGCTAAATCATTGAAATGCCTCTAATTAATGCGCTTATCACTTAAGCAAGGAGGTCTCAAAGCTGCATTTACCCATACTCCTCCATTCTCCACCTTAACATTGTCACCATCACTATTTTTATTCTTTACCATGCCCTTCCACAGAGGTACTCAGTAATGTACCCATTGTGCAAGTAATCTGAAATACTTTTCGGCAAGCAATAGTATTTAGTAGTAATAAACACTAATTTGTCTACCAAGTAACATATTTATAAGCGCTGTTTACTTTGACATATTTTTATTATTTCTACTCATTTGCTAAGTACTTTCCAATATATATTTATGAAGCATATGCCTTTCCCCAAACAGTAGTGAAAAATAAATCATACTATTTCTTTTATTAGTAGCAACATGGTTTGTAAGTCCTACTGCCCTGATTTTTGTTACTTCTGGCAAGAGCCGGGAGAATTAATGGTGATTGAGCACCTACTGTGTGCCAGACTCTCTGTGAAAGGCACTTTACGTAAATTATCTATTCAATCCCTCCAAGAATTACATTTTACCAATAAGTAAAGTTAATTCCCTGGCAGCATAGATTTTACCAATAAGAAAGAGACATCACCTTGTTCAATTTGGCTAGAAAGGACCTTGCAGCATTTTGAATCTAAATCTTTTCCTGAGTCCAAAATCCCAAACCATCATTCCACTTCACCAGCTCCCTCTTTTCTGGACCTAATAAATTCTGTAAAATATAAAGTATTCCTTAAACCTAATCAAGGAAGTGAAAGACCTATACTCTTAAAACTACAAGACACTCTTAGGAGAAATTAAAGAGGACACTAACAAATGGAAACTCATCCCATGCTCTTGGCTAGAAAGAACTAATATTGTCAAAATGGCCATCCTGCCTAAAGCAATCTACAGATTCAATGCAATCCCTATCAAATACCAATAGCATTCTTCAATGAACCAGAACAAATAGTTTTAAAATTCATATGGAACCACAAAAGACCACGAATAGCCAAAGTAATCCAGAGAAGGAAGAATAAAGCAGGGGGGATCTCACTGCCCAACTTCAAGCTCTACTACAAAGCCACAGTAATCAAGACAATATGGTACTGGCACAAGAACAGAGCCACAGACCAGTGGAACAGAACAGAGTCCAGGTATTAACACAAACATATATGGTCAATTAATATATGAAAAAGGAGCCATGGACATACAATAGGGAAATGACAGCCTCTTCAACAGCTGGTGTTGGCAAAACCGGACAGCTACATGTAAGAGAATGAAACTGGATCACTGTCTAACCCCATACACAAAAGTAAATTCGAAATGGATCAAAGACCTGAATGTAAGTCATGAAACCATAAAACTCTTAGAAAAAAACATAGGCAAAAATCTCTTGGACATAAACATGAGCGACGTCTTCATGAACATATCTCCCAGGGCAAGGGAAACAAAAGCAAAAATGAACAA